AGGGATGAGGGACAAACAGGGATGACTGCAGGGTCAGCACATTGTCACTCATTGCTGCTGACCCTGCTGCTGAGGGGGATATTTACCCCCTTGGGGTGTCCCAGTGCTGAGCCCTCATGAACTCGTACCAAGGATGGAGGCCCCCAGCACCTACTGCCCTAGTGAGCAGTTCTGTGTGCTGGCGTGCCTCAGTTTACCTACTCCATGGCCCCAGGCAGCCACATCCCTTAGGACATCCAGCAAAGCTCCTTTGCCAGCGGTAGGGGGAAAATTCCAGCGGTTGGGAAGGGGCCAAGGGTCAGGGTCTAGCCACACACAGCCCACATTCCCAGGGAAGAGCCATTTCCGTGGAAAATTCCCTGCCCGCATGTGCAGGACAAGGTTTTCAGCTGTGAGAGCTCACGCAGCCACTCAGGCCCCACTGTGGGTCAGCGTTTTCCAGCTGCTGCGAACAGCCTGCATGAGAACCGGCTCCTTCCCACGCCTGCCCGGGCCATATCCTGCCACCCCTCTGCAGTGAGAGCCTGGGTGACGCTCAGATGCATAGCTGCTCTCTGGAGAGCACAGGTGACCGGCGCCGATGCCCTTCGCTGTACGGGTGCCCCCATGGGAACTTCCAGCCCTGTTATCCAGCTTTGGAGAGCCCAAGGCTGGGATCAGCCACCCCGGGGGGGATGATGGATGTCCCCTTCCTGGGACAAAACCACTCATCGCAATGGGACCGAGCAGCTGAGCACTTGGCTCCAGTGCCAGGGTTGCATCCCCCAAGCCCTGGGACGTGCCATGCAGCACCAAGCATGCTGCCGGCCCCACGGGCACTGACCCTGCCGCAGCCCTGGTGCGAGCAATTCGGTGCTTGCGTGGCTCCAGTAGATGCCTGGCCTGGTCATCAGGGGCCCTGTTTGGTTCTGGGCTGTACTGGGAGGTGAAAAGCACCCCTGGTGAGGCCATAGGGGGTTCTTGCCTGCATCAGGCATGGCTTGAACCCTGCTGCCCCCCAGGACAGAGCGGAAACGCACTGCTGGCGAGGCTGTGGTGCCAGGAGGTGATGGGGAACCTCCCGGCACTGCCCGGCAGGAAAGGCTCAGCCCACAGATAGGGTTGGAGCCCCCGGCACCACAAGCCCTCCCGCTGGGCAGAGGGGATGGGACAGCAGGCATAGGTGATGCTGTTGTCCACCGGCAGCGGCAGGAAATCCTTCCCCGTCCCGTTTCCAAGCTCCGCTGGCAAGCGGTGGCCCTGAATTATCCCCAGCCCTATCCAGTTTCTGCAGAGACCCAGCACGCCGCGGGATGGCTAGATGCGCTTTCCCAGGGCTGCTTCCTATCCCCCATGCCTACATCAGCCCAGTGCCTCCCAGTTTCCACCAGCAGCTGGGAGAAGGTCTGGGGGGGGGGAAATGTCCTTGGCTTTACCTTCTGCTCCCTGGGTGCTGCGTGCTCCCATGAGCCGTCCTGAGGCCCTGCCGTGGCCAAATTCAGCACGGTGGCATCAGGGCGATGCCAGGCAAGGAGCCACAGGGCCAGGGGACAGAAAGGGTGTAAATGCCAGGAGATGTAAACCAGCCCGTGTTTCACTGTGCATCCTCGGGACTGGACCCAGGGCTGAGTTTGGAGGCAGAGGTGGGAGCTGGGGCAAGGGGACAGGGAGCACTTTCAGAGCACGAGCAGCTGACAAGATCCCCTGTAAACACAGCAGGAACCCAAGACCTAGCAAGAAAGGAGGAAAATCTTTAGCATTCACAGCATATCCTCAGGAATGGACCCGGGGCTGAGTCCAGAGGCAGAGCCGGGAGCTGGGGCAAGGGGACAGGGAGCACTAAAAACCTTTCAGAGCATGAGCAGCTGATGAGATCCCCTGAAAACACAGCAGGAACCCAAGACCTAGCGAGAAAGGAGGAAAATCTTAAGCGTGGGCCAGGATTGTCCTGTGCTGGCTGGGCAGTGAGCTACTGCAGGCAGGACCAGGATGGTCAGGGGGGATTTAGGACAGGGAGAATCAGGGCTGAAGATGGGGGAAAATTGGGGCAGTGTGTGCTCTAAGCACCGGTGAAGGCAGAACCTCTCCCAGTGCTGCTTTCTCTCAGTGCAATCAGACTAAGCCCCACCTGGAAGTTTGTATTAAATGTTTACAAGGGTTCAAAAAAGGTGTACAAAAAAAGGTAAAAGCCACACTTGCCTCTTCTCCTGGGGAGGCTGCTAGAAGCACTGCCCCCCTCGCAGCATCCCCATCTTCCTCAGCTGCCCAAGGAGGTGTCAACACTCCACCGGCAGCCAGGAGAGGGTAGCAGAAAGCTCAAATTCTTGACGCGCGTTTACGCTCAGTAATCTTGATGTTAGAGTCACGCGGCTTCACTGCAGCCGGGGATAACCCGTGTGCCTGGAGAGAGCCTATCCAAAGAGAAAAATCTCCTTGCTAGGAGCCACAACGGCTGAAAACTAGTAATAAAAAAAGCATCAGTGCTCTGGGCTGCTCCCTGTATGGGGCAGGCCCTGAACACAGAGTCCACAAATGCCCAGGGAGACTTCTACAGCCAGGAAAGAGAGACATGACGAGCAG